GGTGAGTTTATATAAGGGAGTGTGATACATGTTAATTACAGTGTACTGGGGAGGTTTTAAAAAAAATTGTCGGAAAAAAAATTTAAACGGAAAAGGAAAAACTAATTAATTCTATTTATATTTTCGAAAAATATTAATATGTATACATTCATATTTTAAGGTCAATTGTAAGATATATGTAGTTCAAGTAATAATTGCGCTTAATTGTCAATTATTTAGTTTTTTTTCAATACTGAGCAGCTTTTTGACTATTCTATACACTGCAATTCTACACTAACATATCACCCCGGACTAACCAGAGTGAGAAGCATTCGGTTTCTTTTATTCGAAATCAAACGTATTTTGGTCTATGATTCAACAACCTTTAATTTTACGGATTCGTTTATTTTATACTTTTTCATTCAAAACGAATAGGCCGACAAAAAAAGTATAAGAAAAAGCCTAAAAAATTATGTATAAGGGGTCAAAAGTCACAGCTTTCTGAAATATTGACAGAACCGTTAAATCCACGTGATATGCATTGAAAAAAGATTATCAGAATTCATTCATTTTGTCCATGCTCACCATAAAACACAAAACAAATGCAATTAAGTGGCGTATTGTGACAAAAACCAGCAGCTNCCCAAATTAAATAGTCAAAGTTTGACAAATCATGATGGTGTCTATCAATTATCTACTAGTTTGCAAAGATATAGGGATAGCAATATCTAAGTTTGAAGCATTTATTTTTGATATATTAAAAAAAATTCTCTTTAATCTTTTTTTTATTTTGATCTATTTAAATTTTGTTCTAGGGATGGTCCGGGCCCAGTGTGGTTTCAGCAAAACAACAAAAGGAAAAAACATCGTTCTTGGAAATTTGAAAAAGAAATGATATCGAAAACACGCAGAAACAAAATATCAAATTCAAAATAGGATAACTATTAAATTCTAAATAGCAAAGAAAATATTAGGTTATGAAATGATATTAGACAACTACTATTTAAACCAAGTTTTTATTTCCTTTGAAAAAAAAGGAAGAAAAGAAACATATAAAATATATTGAGAAACGATGATTTTTTTAAAGATGGAGTATCTGCACTCCCCACAGTTTATCCTGTAGTTTATCCCCGAACTCATGCTGCTCTGGCACTACATGCATCTGCAACCTTTGGGGACAAAACTGCAAGTAAGGATTAAACTTGGGACCGAACTTTATGAAAAAGAGAGGTTGTTGAATTTCCTACCACCGGATCACCGATTTAGATCCTTATGAATCCTTAACTATGAATTGCTGGTCTTGTCACATGATTAAAACTCTCAATAAAAGGAATTCCTACGGAGCTCCTCTTTTGGAGAACTCTCCTCAAAAGGAAGGTATGAGGAAGATTATCCACAAGAGAAGTAAATAAGGAGAATCATCCGTTTTTGGTGGAAGAAAGGAGTACTCCACTTGAGGAGTAACTGTGGAGCTCTCCTCAAAAGGAATCTCTAATGAATTCCTTTTTTGGTTGACTCCTGCACAACAGGAGGAGATGAGGAGGATTCTCCATTTTCGGTGGATAAAAGGAGTCCTTCTCTTGAAGAGTACAAGTGGAAAGCAGAGTGGGTTTTCTTGCTGGGGGGGTTGATTCAGATTTTAACCAACGGCGGCAGCTGGTTCAGTAACCTAGCTCAAATTCATTAAATTCGGTCCCTAAGCAAGATAGGTACGACTTTGGAACCTCGTATTTCGCCTAGTTTTGATTTTATGCACAGATATTAGAAAAGAAAAGAAAAGGAATTCAAAAAATATCTGTTCCTTACATTAGCTCTTCAATAAGAGAAGTTTAGATTGAAAACATATCAGATTTTAATATTACTTGCAATTGCCATTTGAAAGGTATTTCTTTCTTTTAAATTTTTATTTTAGATGCCAACGGCTAGGCCTAATCAGTCAGTGGCTGGGTTAAGATCTCAAGATGGAGGTTTCTTCTCAACAAACTGATATATATATATCTATGATACATATGTTTATCGTTGTTTTTAATCATATTATTGAACAATTTATCTAGTTTTTGTCGTCTATATAAGATGTACACTATTTCAGCATGAAAATCCAAGTACAGAGAAACAAATAACAATACTTCGTAGAGACTGTTTTATTTTTTTTATTATTATTACGTGATCAGAATATTGTTATCTTTTCTATTTATCTAGTGAATTAGTTATTCAAAGACAGCGGTAATGGAAAAATTGCTAACAAACTCTCGTCTTAAATCTTTCTTTTGATAAAATATACCGCGAGGTATTTATGATTAAAAGCTGTTCTATTTCTGAAAAATAGAAACAAAAGGGAAGTAGTTAACCTGGCTACGCATGGGCCAACTACTGATATCATCTTAGCCCTATCTAGCCTGGGGGGGGGGGGTAAATTAACCCCCCCCCCCATCGTTTTTTTCGATAACTCAAAAAGCATTTGAGCTAGGAAGCTCAAATCTTCTGGCTTTTCTACCTGACACATGTCCCTAACTTGAAGCTAAAAGATGCCTAATTTTACCTATACCAGACTAAATATCTATTTAGACCTACTTCCATTCACTAGATTTCAACATTTTATAGCTATTGGAAAGCCTATAACAAAGCAAGCAGATGGCACAATTTTTGCAAAGACATTTTGCACAAGTTTTTGCACAGACGCCATTAAAGGGAATTTGCACTCTTTCGCTTTTCTTGAACCATTTAAGTTTAAAACATTTTGCAAATGTTTTTGCACATTTAAATTTGCTGGGTCAAGGGATTTTCAAAAATGAATTAATTCTTGCAATTTGCGTATTTTTTTTGGTACATTTTTTGCCTTATAACTAGATTACGCAATAAATATTTGGATTTTTGTACATTTGCCAGTTTCCTCTATCTTTTTGGTAATCACTACAAGGTTACAAAGGATGAGAAAGGATGAGACTGTAAAGATAACTTGAAACTTATCAAATATGGCTTAGTTTAAAAGTCATATGCCTTGAATGTGGTCTTTATACAGTCGTCTCTGAATTCTCATCCTTTGTGGGGAACCCTGTACAGTAAAAAATGCAAAAAGATATCGGTAAGGCACTGATCTTTGCAATTGGCTGCAATGCGGAAGAAAGTGTAAAAAAAACGGGAGAGAAAACATAAAAAAATGAAGGTTCTGTATTCTGTAAAATTAGACTTAAAAAAAAAAGATGCTAAAAATCGAGGCTGGCAGTATGCGATTGCTACAATTTGGTATAAATTTTAGGTGCAAGGATTGCTTTCTCTTACACAGATTTTTGTCGTCTTCTGTCTGTATTATTCTGTTTACCACAGTCTCCTGCGACATTTTTCCACAAATGTTAAATAGAAGTGTAAATTAACAAGTAAAAGGAAATTTCTATTTATTTTTTGATTAATTGGATTAAACAAAATTTATCAATTAGTATTTCTCAGAATTTATTTGAATAAAAGTGATTTTCACGAAAAACATCTGAATTGAGTTTACGGAACACTTAAGGGGCGTAACCCCCCCCCCCTCCCCTCCTCGAAAACTAAAATTATCTTATTTTAAAAGTGGAAACTCTTTAAAGATCTTATTGTATCCTGTATTGTGCACATTTTTTGAAAATTTGAATAAAATTATTTCAATCTCAGAAAAGCTTTAATTTCAATTTCAATTCAATTTTGCATAATTGCATACTTTTCTCAATGTCTCACGAAATAAAACTTTTAAACTAGATTTCTTTATTTCCTGATTATACAGGGTGTCTCATAAATCATGATAGTTTAGAGCCGAACTTAATATCGTATTTGACCTTTGTGCTAATTTTTGGCATTAATTCGCCTGCACACTAAAAATAGAAGCGAATCCGAAATGTGGTCTGCTTACCAGATATACAGTCAAACCCTAAATATTAAATACATCGAAAGAATTTATCAAATGTCTCATTGGTCACTTTTTGATAATGGAATGTTGCAGATAATTAGTTTTTTAATCAAATGATTATATGGAGAGGAGCTCCATAAAACTGTTCCCGCATATTCATGGCTATTCATTTAGTTTAGCAAATACTGAGATTTACGTAAAATAGTATAAAAACCCATTGGAAAATTGTCAAGATGACATTTCAAAACTTCTTTCGATGTATTTAATATTTAGGATTTAACCGTATGAAAAATTTGTTTAGTTATGATTTTCTTTCATATATTGAAATATGAACAAAATTCTTAATAACTCTGGTAGTATTGATTGCACAAAAATGCATACTTCAATGTAAAAGTAGGTTGATAAATGAATGCCTTAAATTTCTACGATTAATGACGATATTCAAGCTCTTCTTTACACTTTCATGTTTGGTGGGACAACCTTATTTAACAAAAAAAAATTAAATGACACTCCTGCAGTATGAATTCATTAAAGCAACATGCATTTCAATTCACTGATTTTTCTTGATTCCCTGTCCTAATTAGACGGACAGTATAAGCGTAATTTAGAGTGACCCTCAAAGCAAAGAAGGCAATGCCTGATTCACAACGGTACCCTTTAAACATTTATCTGGTCAATAATGTAAAGGACATGGTTGTTTTTCATGGTAATATAACTCCTATGTCTTCCTGCGCAAGTCACGTTTGTATAAAAAAAAACAATTCATTTTTTTTTGAACTTTAAACATTGCTGTCTAATTTACATTCTATCAGAAAAAGTTTTAAAGGGTACCGTTGTGAATGCGCTATTGCCATCTTTGCTTTGGAAGGTCTTTGGAAATTACGCGTACAGTCCCTTTAACGCGAACACTCAGTTCAATCATTAATTCTAATCCTCGATCGTAAAGTTGTAGAAACCTTGAACTAACGAACGTAAAATAATAAAGTTTAATGCTTACTAAAGGTAACTGCACTAACCAGGGAGCTAGATATGCACAGTCGGTTTATTCAGTTTTGGCCAAAGGAATTGAGTCTTTGGAACAAAATCAAATATTTAAACCTCAATATCTTTAGCCCTCGATGTTGTTAACCTTTGAAATTTCAAACTCAGATTATTTGATCTAACTGAATTCATAGTTTGAAATATCTAAGGTCTTCAACATTTGGTTCCAGTGATATAGTGATTAGAAAATCAGAGTTTGTGGCAAAGACTCAATTCCTTTGTTTTAGCGCTCATAATGTAAGCCGCTTTAGTGCTATTTAGAACAAACCACAGGGGGGCCTTATCGTTGATAGGGTTAATATATGTTGCTATATATTGGGCTCAAAAAAATATACGAAAATTTAACTCATCAAAAATCAAAATGATTGCACAGATGCGAAAATGCGCCAAAATTTGTGACTAGAATAGCCGTGATTATGAAGGGGTGAAGTTTTTGGAATCTAATTTGTAGAGAAGAAAATAAATAGCTCGGAATTTATTCCAAATGGAGAATAACCACCATTTTGAATTTCCGTTTGTGTAATGTAGGCGTACTCGACACGATCATGTTTGAACTCCTTTTCAGGCTGAAATAGACAGAAAAGCAGTACTTCCCCTCATGTTGATGTTTTGTAATGTGTTTTTTATAAAGCCCCCACTCCCCTGCACCGCCCACACAAGTTAACATTTCACCAATTATACATTAAAAGGAATGTAAGCGTAATTCGAAGAGACCCTCCAGACAAATATGGCAATGCCCGATTCACAACAGTACCCTTGAAACCTTTAACTGGTCAATAATGTGGAATATATGGTTGTTTCTCAAGGTTTAAAAGTGTATATTTCTGGTAATTTTAATATTTGTTCCATTATTAAAAATGCACAAGTTCCTTCAGTAGAGAAATCATAACATGATAAATATTCATATCTATTTATACTTGATCAAAAAAAAGCTTTTAAGGATACCACAGTGAATCAGGCATTGCAAACATGGCGTGCATGGAGGGTCACTTGAAATTATGCGTACAGTCCCTTTAAGGACATGCATAAGCCTAACCTACACAATATTCAGAATCTCACCTTAGCATGAGGAGAAGTTTGAAATTCTGCATATTTATGCAACTAAACAACTAATGGAAAGCTGGCGAATGGGGGTTTACAGGTTACTGGGGCGAATACATTGGCGGAAGAAGGTTGATGGCACCTCAGGTGCGGATACTTAAGCAGAGGAAGTTTAATGCCACCTCAGGATACATTGGTGAAGGGAAGTTGATGTCACCTCAGGGGAGGAAAAATCAGCAAAGGAAGGTTAATAGCACCTAGCTCAAAGGCGCATATATTGGCTTCGGGAGGTTGATGGCCCCTCAGGGTCGGATACATTGGTGGAGGAAGATTGATGGCACTGTAGGGGGCAATTTCATTGGCGGAGGGAGGTTGATGGCACCTCTGGGGCAGATAAATTGGTGGAGGAAGGTTGATGGCACCTATGGGGCGGATTCATTTACAAAAGGAGGTTATGACACCTTTTGGGGCAAATATATCAGTGGAGGTGGGTTAATAACTTTTTAAGGGTTGAAACATTGGAAAAGGAAGGTTCTTTGCACCTTACAGCTGGCAAATGACAGTTATAAAAACCTACAGGGTGCATACAATAACGGATAGGGGCTTCCAAGCAACTTTGGGATATATGCAACGGTGGAGGAAGGTTATTGGCGTCTTTGGGGCAGAAACAGCAACAGAGGGAAGTTATTGGCGCCTTTGGTGCATATACATAGGTACATAGGAGAAAGCAAAGCCAAAGGGAGTATTTTGTGTCATACATATTACAGAATGGCAGGATGGAATTTGGAGGTTGGTTGCACATTAGTGGCGTTTTATACAATACAATTAAAAGTCGAAGAAATGTCAAAGCCTGAACTGATATGAATAAATCTACAAAATATAGGAAAAAATGTATTTACAGCATTAAAAAAGCAGATAATATTTCATGCTATTCTCATTGGAATAAAGCTAGATCTTTCAGAGGAACTCTTTGCCTTTCTTCCGCCTCATATGAAGAATCGATCTTCCTCTTCCAATTCTTTGTCAAGACTACTGATCTTTTCCGCTCTAGCCTGGCCAGTACTATTAACGCCACCTCGGAGAGCCAGGTTATTGGCTTGAGTTTTAAAATAGAACCTGAGGTAAAGGTCGGCTTGGATTTGCCATGCGAGTTGAGTTTCTACACATTGAATGCAAGATTTCTAACCGATAAAATATCTTGATTGGAACTGCAACTAAACACAAGGTGGTTTATTATCCGCCCTACTTTTTGCACGGCCTGTGCTATATAAAAGAGCTAATAAGCTGTCATGCTTACAGGCCGGACTACTTGCAATCTGAGCTTAGCTTCGGGGTCAGTGTGAGAACTGAAGGGGTTACATCAATAGAACTATCCAATCTTAGCTTAGCTCTGGGTCCGTAAGAGAACTAGAGGGGTTACATCAATGGAACTAACTCTATTCCGAGCTCTTGAGCTCATACTGGTTACACTTTATAAAACCATGGAGGAAGGTTAATAGCATATTATCCTTCTCAGATAAAAAATTGGAATTTGGTTGGTTTCCCCCATAGGGTGGCTAGCAGCACCAATTAGATGCATATACAATAACGAAGATAACATATTTAGAAAATTTGTTAAGGAGTACCATTTAAAGTCAGACATGCAACTCTGAAACCGGAAAATCACTTGAAATAAAGTCTACATTCCCTTTAATCATAAACAATGGCGATCTGACATTTGCATTGTTCACGAAAAGACTCAGTGATGCATTAAAACTGGAGGAGGATATTGAATGAAACTAGAAAGGAGTTGTATGTGGGTTTGGAAAAGGGAAAGAAAGAGAAGAGAGGGGGGGTTATGTTTTTGTCTATATATGGTAAAAAGTCTTTTCCTATCTCCCCCTGCTGTGAACCCGATTTCAGATTAGAAGAATTTGAATGTTTGGACGTTTTCTCAGAATCTTAATTTTTCCAAACCTGTGTGGGTGTGCTGCATAGTGTGCAAATTAGCCTGAACCCAATACTCAAGACAAAGTATCGTAATGAAACCCAGTTTCGGAAACCGGTCTTGTAGACGAACAAAATATTTCAACTAGAGATGGGCATCATTTTCATAGATGAACAAAATATTTCAACTAGAGATGAACATCATTTTCATAGAAGAACAAAATATTTCAACTAGAGATGGGCATCATTTTCATAGATGAACAAAATATTTCAACTAGAGATGGACATCATGTTCATAGACGAACAAAATATTTCAACTAGAGATCAACATCATTTTCATAGATGAACAAAATATTTCAACTAGAGATGGGCATCATTTTCATAGACTGACAAAATATTTCAACTAGAGATGAACATCATTTTCATAGATGAACAAAATATTTCAATTAGAGATGGGCATCATTTTCATAGAAGAACAAAATATTTCAACTAGAGATGGGCATCATTTTCATAGATGAACAAAATATTTCAACTAGAGATGGGCATCATTTTCATAGACCGACAAAATATTTCAACTGGAGATGGACATCATTTTCATAGAAGAACAAAATATTTCAACTGGAGATAGACATCATTTTCATAGATGAACAAAATATTTCAACTAGAGATGAACATCATTTTCATAGTTGAACAAAATATTTCAACTAGAGATGGGCATCATTTTCATAGATGAACAAAATATTTCAACTAGAGATGGACATCATTTTCATAGACGAACAAAATATTTCAACTAGAGATGGGCATCATTTTCATAGACGAACAAAATATTTCAACTAGAGATGGACATCATTTTCATAGACGAACAAAATATTTCAACTGGAGATAGACATCATTTTTGTAGACGAACAAAATATTTCAATTAGAGATGGACACCATTTTTGTAGATGAACTAACGAAATTTTTCTTGAACATTGCTGTTGTTAAGAAAAAATAGCAAAAATGGCGTACAAATTGGAGCGTTTAGATAAATAAACCCGTTTGAGAAAAGCAAAAACAATCAACCGCATATTTTATTCAATCAGACAGTTAATTGACGAATGAATTATAAATCGTTTATTTACTGAACAAACAGGTTGTAAAAACGCGTCCATCTAGCTCTGCTGACAACCTACCTACCCAAGTTTCCCCTAAATTAAAGACTATCATGCCTGATTCCCAACGGTACCTTGTATACCTTTAGCTGAGCAGAAATTTTTAAAATATTGTCTTTTTATTTGTTAAGAAGGTTTTAAGTTTCTTCTCTTTTACCTCCCATGGTCCCAAGAGAAACCACAACAGAAAACAATCAATTTATGTTTAAGATACAAAAACAAGGATATCTTGATTTCATTCAACTCATTTGTCCAAATCTGCAATAACTTGAGAATTGCAACCTTTCACTTTGCGTAGATATTAATGCTTTGTTTTATAAACATATACGCATCTAATTCATCTACAGGTTTTACACCTCTTCTTTGTATTGTCTTGGCGCCAAATGTGCATATTTTCACTGCCTGACTGCCTTTAACTGTGGATGAAACAATGGGAGATTATTAGGCTTATTTATGGGCAAGCTATGACTAGCATGACTTGGAATTTTATAACTTAACCTTAAAGGGACCGTTCACTTATTTGGGTAATTTCAGGGTAACCTGAACTGCCTATTCGCTCTTGATTGGTAATAGTCTTACTTTTCAAAGACAACTGTGGCCGGAGAAAAGCCGATTTTTCGTTCAGAATTTGAGCGGAAAGGACCGGTCCCTCTCTATACACACTATTTGATGTTTTTTTCAGTAACAGCAGCCCAATAACATTTAAATTCATTATATTTTAATGTCATTATGTGTTCGTTATTATGAACTAAAATATGAAAACTTTTAATATTTGAGTTAGCAAGAAATTTACGTTTTTCGTATTAAAACATGTAAAATATGTATACAAAGACGACGTCTCTACGACAATCAATTAATCATTACTCGTATTTTGGTTCGTAGATTTTGTTCGCGTATGTGCACAACTTGTCATTTGTCATGCCGCGTTCTATTCAGCTTTTTACACAGGCAATACACAATTTTGAATGCGATAAAATAGTGTTATTTTAGAAATAGAAAGTTAAAAAACAACAAAAATTAAAAAATAATGACATTTACAATAAACGATCAGATACTACAGTTTAATTTTATATTCGAAATTTATTTTGATTCACAACATACTGAAGAAAACATCAATTAGTGTCTATAGAGAGGGACCGTCCCTTTGCGCTCGAATTCTGAACGAAAAATCGGCTTTTTCTCCGGCCACAGTTGTCTTTGAAAAGTAAGACTATTACCAATCAAGAGCGAATAGGCTGTTTAGTTTACCCTGAAATTACCCAAATAAGTGAACGGTCCCTTTAAAGGGACATTAGTCGTAACCTCAAGTGATCCTTAATTTAATTTAAGAGGTACTTGTCTAATTCACAACGGTACCCAGTTCTAGCTTGAAAGTGATTAATTCTATTAACTTTCTACGGCAGAAAAATGCAAGTCCCTTTTCTAGAGAGGTCAAAATCAAAAATAATCAATTTTCATAATTATAAACATGGATATCTATATTTTTTCCGACCAAAATCTGATCGCTTTAAATATTCTAGAGGATTAATGACCTAGTCATGATTCTATTACAGGGTTACGATTGGAACCAGGACAGTCTCGAATCTCTTACTGAAGAAAACAATCCAAGAACTGTTTCAAATACGGGTTCAATCTAAAAATATTGCCCTAATTAATTTATTTATTATAACATACAATATGCATTAAAAATTGACGAATATATATACAATATACGTTCAAAAACTAAAATCTTTCATCGAAAACTCGAAAATACATGGAAACTCTTTCATGGAAAATATTCTTCAATCAGAAACAAGGGAAATAAGGACTTAAAACTCAGTATTGCATAAATCATGAAGTAATATCTAATTAATACCTTATAGTCAAAAAGAATAGAATATATATTAGAGTGGAATTTAGACAATCCCACGGTATGAATTTTGTCAATTCCTTTCAGCCTGAAAGGGAGTTCAAAGTGTACAAATCATATAAATGTTCACAAATGATATGCAGTAGAGTACATTAACACAGTATGTTCCCATGACTATCCATTTCAATTTCAAATTCTTTAAAGCTGTTAACCCTATCTCTGCTGGGGTACTTGAAAACCAGGATATGCGGGGGGGAGGGTCAACTTGACCCCCCCTCTAAATCCCATGTTTGATGTCCAAATATCACAAATGATACATCATTTGAAAGCTCTTGTGCTCTACTTTTAGAATCTGCAAAAAAAATTTGCAAATTTGCAAAAATTAAATTTTTATCACAAAATCCAGTTATACAGTAAAAATGTTTGCAAAAAATGAAAAATTATACATTTTTGAAAAGCCCTTGACCATGCCATTTCAAATATGAAACAATTTTTGCAAAATTTTTGTTACGCGAGCCATGCTCCCTGTATAAAGTCTATGTGGTGCCCCTGTGAAATCCTGAGTTCTCCCTGCAGATCTGTACAGAACGTATTGTGAAAAATTAGTTTTAGAAGCTGTTTCCAGACCGACTACGCATGCGCAGGATTCTTGAGTGGAAGCGGACAGTTTCTACCGTAGTATATATTTGTTTTTCGTGCAAGTTCGTCTATTATTAAACCGTGCTTATAATTCTAGGATCACTGCGGTAATTATTCTTTATATATATATATGAATATCGTTTGTTTATGTTCGGTTATGGTTTGATATTTTATAATGTAATTTATTGGTTACATTCCACAGTTTTTTAATGCCTGAGTTGATTTATTTGTTGTACTTGTATGATCTTATCACTCGATGCTTTTTCTGTGGGTTTATTAAAGTTATTTAGATTAAAGTCTCGGAGAAATAAACGTTCGGAACCATATTATCGTCCTTTATTATGGAGAGCGGTCAGAAGAGGAAGTCTTACAATCCTATCCTGAGAAATACCGCACGGTACTTATAAAGATTTCATTAGGTCTTTAGGAAAATCGCTAAGTAGCGAAACAATTTTAAATAACCTGATTTTTAATCAAGAAAAACTAAAAATGTGCAAATTTCCTTTGACAGGTTGATTGCAAAAAATTGAAATTTTTTTCGCAAAACTTGTGCAATTCGTTTCCTTATGTCAAAGGTTTTCCAAAAAGCTATATTTTATCAAAATCTGACAAGTGGAAGTGGGTCAAAACAAAGATTTAGTTTGTTACAGGAAAAAGCAGTCATTCAGGCAGTGTGCCTGAGAACTCAGGCAATCAGTATTAAAGCCCGGTTTTCGGCCTAAAGGGAGGGCTTTGGGTATGTAGGAAAAGTCAGAAAATTTCAACAGCCTCAGACCAATACTTTTTGACTTATGTAAAAAAAACTACAGGGGGGGTCAAATTGACCCCCCCCCCCCCAGCAGGAATAGGGTTAAATAAACTTACTGACATGAATTAGGTGAATAAAAAACATCATTTTAACGGAAAATCATCGTTTGTAAAGTGAAAGGCATTGAGTTTATGTGAAATGATATTATGAAACCAGCCTATTTCATAATTTGGTTTTCTTTTAATATTAATTTTAGATTTTCTATAAAATGATGTTCCAGGGCCCAAAAGGTTATATAGCACAAATATATGAAGTACACCTGCAGTATGGAAACAGTATAACAAAATGGCCGTTTTACACTTTTTTCTAGTAAATTCCACTCTAATATATATTCTATTCTCTTTGCTTATAGTGTGCAGTTCATAGAATTACAACAATTAATACTCTTGTATCGAAATATCAAGTTTGACTGATGAGAACATGGTGGACGCAGAATAAATATAAGGTAAAGTTTACAAATCAAAATTAGTTTTGTTGTTGCCCTTCCGACTTCAGGGGTTTCACATCTTTTGCATGAAGAACTCAGGGGCGAGGGAGTTCAGAACGTGAAGATTTCGTCGCGTAATAATCCAATTTATTAATAATCAGCTTTTAATGGTACAGTTGTGAATGAAGGTTCATTTCAAAATACGCCTACAGAGTACAAACCCTTTAAGGATGAATGAATGAATGCAAAGAAAAGGGCAAAATGGCAAAGTTTCAGGGTGGAAAACACCCCCCTCACTCCTCCTTATTCTGGATACCTTTTTATTGACCAATTTTCCAAGAGTTAAACTAACTATAATCTTTTGCCTGAAGCTCTAATTATCTGATCCCAATATCTTAGAAACCTGATGTCTTATCACTTTTAATTTGATTTCAGTGTACAAATTTAAAAGATTTTACGAAATTCACGATCATCAGCAGCAGCAGCGCTAAAGACTCAAGCTGTAAAGAGAGAAAACCCAAGATGATTGGTTTTTACAAAACCTAATGCCATCCAAGTTGAGCTTTTCTTGGGTCTAAGCAGACGCAAAGACTGGGTTTTACGTGGGTTTAACCCTATTCCTGCTGGGGGGGGGGGGTCAATTTGACCCCCCCTGTAGTTTTTTTTACATAACTCAAAAAGTCTTGGTCTGAGGCTGTTGATGGGGGGGGGTCAAATTGACCCCCCCCCAGCGTATTCTGGTTTTCAAGTACCCCAACAGGGATAGGGTTAAGCTTTTAAAATCTCAACTCAGTGGTCGACTAATAAAACTGTGGAATAGGAAAAGACGATATTTTAGTAAGCTTTTCAGTGTTTGATCGTGTTATAAAGCAAATAGTCTTAAAATTCCTCTTGTTAAGTGAATTGGTTCTGTGTACACTGCACACTGGCTGAGTTTGATTATATTTTAACCGCATGTAAATCACATAATTTGTATAATATGAGCCAATTGTATTCTTTCACATAAATAACCGTGAGAAAATAATGAAATTATATAAAATTTGTTAGTAGGACTTGAAAAACACTTGATCAATTTTAAATCGATAATTGAACATAATTATTCACCTCAAGGAAATAAAATTGTTAATTTGTCAGCTATCATTTTATCATTTTGTCAACTAATATAAATTGGAAGGGGGGGGGGGGGTCTTCCACCACCCTCAACCCCCTATGATTTTGCTCTTGGAGTTTTGATAGGGGATTGTGATACATGTTCCAGGGTTTTAAGGCCAGGGCACTTTAAAAAATGAGACCTCTAATCTATATAAATGTTTGGGGTAATAGGAAGGTTTAAAAAAAATGGTTGATAAATTTGTTGCAAAAGTGAAGGAGTTTCCACCAATATGGAATGACTCCATCAATTTTAAAGGGTAAAGAAATGTCATAGCACATTTGGGATATCTTAAGACTAGAATTTGCTTCGACTGCAAACAATTATACCTCACAAAAAGATATAAAGTGCTTCAGTTCATTTCTGCATGTTTGATGGTACACCCTGTTCCTTGTGAAAATCATTTTTTTGTCAGTTCAAAAACAAGATTGGAGATTTATTCAGGCCCAGTGGAGTAGATGTGTAAAGATTAATCCTGTCTTCATTATCATTCGTGATATAAAACATGCTAGTTTGGCCAGATTTGTCGGATACTCTTAATCCCGAAGATCAATCCCGATATCCACTGTGGACACTTTTAATTTGAGGACCAATGCCTAATCTCTTCATATCAGATATCCCTTCAGGGTAGTAGAATACTGATGCGGATAACGAATATTAATCTGCAGATTAAGAAATGATCGAGATCGAAGTTGATCTCAATATCCACAATATGTTCCAACCTAAAATTCAATTGACAAGATTTTGTTTAGATTATATTTTTTATATTTTTCATATTTTTTATATTTTTTATACCTTTTATATTTTCACCATTTTATCTCATGCATCTTATTTTCATCATAGAACCTTTTAGAATTCAAAACCATATTCTAAATATATATTTTGCTTGTCTGTCCGGGTGTTTACTTGTCCGTTTGTATTTAATAAGCTTTAAAATTCAGTGATGGTGATGGACCAAACCTCTGTAGAGTAAAAAAGTAGATGTTAGTTCCACATTTATTGAAAATATATTTCGGTCTGGGTTGACCCTCGTCAGTTCTAACGATATAATAACCATCAAAATCGATTAAAAAAATAAAAAAATGTAAAAATCACAAGAATATAAACAAACAAAAAGATTATTCAAAATAAAAATTTGGGCTGTCAAATGGACATAAGGGAAAAGAACTCAGATTATGAGATGGGAAAAAGATAATTTGCAAATATTCACTTTCTAAAAAAATGTTTTTAGACAATTATTATTCCTTGAGATTGTTTCTTCACAAAGATTAAAAACAAACTGTGTAGATGTGTGAATATTGAGTTGGGGTGGGGGTCGATCTAATTAACGAACTTTTCCGTGAGTCGGGGGAGG